TCACAGCCGTCATGTAGGGAGGACGCTTCTGTTTCTCCTGTTGTCGTGGCTGCATCGCTCACCTTCTGCACTGCTGGACCTGGGCTGTCAGAGCGAGCCGGGCCCGTCCGTTTCATCGACTGGAGGCCTTTCAGCTGCACCCGCTTCTCGTTGGAAATGAGCTGATCTCATTAGATTTACATCCATTTGCACAGAGTGCTCTGCCTGGAAGAGGGCCACGCTGCTGATGCTTTCAGGGAGCTGACGATGAAACGTCTCCCAGCATCTCCTGTTTGTTTTGTTAGATTGTAGGCTGTTATCTCATTTAGGAAGAGTTTCACATGTGCAGCAGTACTGCCTGAAACATGTCAGCCAACCCTCAGTGTTCCTCTTTAATGTCACCGAGCTTCGTCTTTGTTCCCGTTGTGAGATTGAGGAGGATTCGCTGCAGCAGCTCGCCTCTCATTTTACCTGAATGCAGCTGCTGTGCACTCCGATTCAGGTCTTTGGCTCGTGTGCGCTGAGGGAGGGTTTCCGTCAGAAGGATGGCATTGTGTCCTATTCACATCCCCACCAGGGGCTCTCCTGATAATCACATGCTTCCCTGAAAGGTAGCCGGCCGGCTGTCTCCAAAGGCTGCAAACAGCCTCTCAGTGCCATCGCAGCCTGCAGAGACGTCAGGGTGACTGATAGCCGGGCTGCTGCAGTCCTCCTCCACACCGCCAACCCCTAACTAGGTACAGTAGGACTTTAATGTCAGAGCGTCTCAGAAATATTCCTCCTGACATGTCTGTGAGGATCCTCAGTCATCCAGGTCGTGGTTATTCTGGTAGATTAATGATAGCAGCTGGACTTGCTTGAGTTCCCTGAAGACGTTTCACCAAGAACTCTCCCCAGGAAGATGAACCCACATCCACACCTAGCCACAAAGACCCTAACGAACCCCACTGTGGCAGGGGGAGCACTAACGACTCACATAACGAGGGGGAGGAGCAACAAACACCAGCTGAAACTCAGGTGTTAATGTCTTCTTCAGGATATCTGGAACTCCCAACCAGTCAGTCAGAGCTGATGGAGCCTCTTGGATGAAGGTGGAACGTCTTCAAGGAACTCAAGCAGGTCCAGCTGCTACCATTAATCTACGAGAAGTATTCCTCCCGACAGGTTCCCACCGTCACAGTGAGAGTACCTGTCCTCGGCTGTGAGAGACCAGGAGGAACAGGCCTGTGTTTGAAGGGGATTGATTAAATTTTCAGGCGAGCATAATTAAACCACAGATCACACTTCCTGAATGCAGCTCCTCTTGTAGAGATTAGAGGAGCGGGTGAAGTTCCCATCAGACAAAATATTCATCGAAGGCTCAGACAAACGGGTTTCATCTGAAGTTCTTGCTTGAATGACTGATTAGACTTCTCCTGTTTTGATGAGCATATGTGTGGATCTCTCTTTAATCTGTGTACAAACACCAGTTAAAGTTGGTGAGAATCTGAACAACGTGCTAAGTGTCCAGCCTCAGAGGCTTCAGACTGAAAGCTTTCTGCTCCTCTGTGCAGTTTTTGGGGTTTTCTCGTGGCCCCTTTGTTCCGTCTCTCCGGCGCTCAGACTGCGAACACTCAGATGATTAATTCTCTTTGATGTCCAGCTTCACATTTCTACTCTTGATCTACAAATCATTTTCTTCAACTCTTCCAGCGTGCTGTTGTCTGCAAACCGCTCGGTTCACGCCGCTCCGTTATCAGCAGACTTCCCACACAGGATGTCCTCTGTGACCCCTTCCCGGTCATCTTTTTGTGTTATTTCTGTTTCGCTGTGCTCTTGTTTTCTCCTCAGCACAACAGTGTAAAAGCTGCTTTGTTTGCTCCATGGAAGGTTGTACACACACTGCTCTGAGAGCCTCTTAAAATCAATACATGCACAAGTTGAATCAATGAATGACTGTTGATGTAATATTAACACAATTTGGAGCCCGTGTAAGGCCTCCAGTTATTGACCCTTGTCTAATTAAGAGTTAGGCTGTTGTGACTGAAACACTCAGCTAACGACAGCATCAAGTCTGTTTCACAGCCCTGTCACTGCATTTATAAGCCGCTGGGAGCTGCTGGAAGGGGTTTGCATCTTTATAAGTCCACCGTCTTGTGCTTGTCTTTTCCAGTCGTCTGCCAAGAGCCTGCGTGCCACCATCGGGGATGCGTTCGAGCGCCTCCACCGCTTCCTGCGCGAGCGTCAGAAGAGCATGCTGGAGGAGCTGGAGATGGACACGGCCCGCAAGCTGGCCGACATCGAGCACAAGATCCAGCGCTACAGCCAGCAGCTGCGCGACGTCAAGGAGGGCATCCAGATCCTGCAGGAGCGCCTCAACGAGACGGGCCGGCACGACTTCCTGGAGGGCGTAGCCGTCACATCTGAGAGGTGCTGAGAAAGTACCGTCGCTGCAATACAGTCAAGCGTTTGTTGTACCAGGGATTAGGTTCATGGCTGTGAAATCGTTCTGATGATACCACACTACATGCAGAATGTGTTTTTCTGCTCGTGCGACGGCTGCTGACGTTCAGGAGAAAGCACAGATTTGAGCAACAGCATCAGCTAATCCCCGAACAGATGGAGTATTAGTGCTGAAATAAACCAGCTGCAGTGTTTAATCTGGGAGGGGGACTTGAGGACGGTTTAATTGAACAGTTTAATATCTTAAAGCTTGATGAGGTTAAATGTGGAGACTGAGATTCAAACATCACAACGATTTAAGGGCAGAACTTCTTAAATGTAGAGTTTTGAAACTGTTCAGTACAAATTGTTTGGTATTTATTAAATAAAATGAGGGGAAGTGGCCGTTATAGTGTATGATAATAAATACTTTGTGTAGATTTTGTGGTCAAGGAGATTTAATAATGGAGTTTTTCATGCAGCTGGACAGCCGTGGGAGATAGATAGAGGAGCTAAAGGTAGTGTAGTAGCATTAAACGAAGGCACAACTCTTCCTTTCATCAGTGAATCATTTCAGCCTGGCAGGACGTCTGAATGGCTGCGAACACAATCAACTGTGGTGCAGGTTTGGATGCACAGGAGGGAAGTCATTTGCACAAAAGCAGGTTTTCTAAAGGCTCAAGTAGTGATAAAGGTTTGGTTTCAGTTTCTTTTCCTCGCTATAGAAACGTGTTGTCATAGCACTAAGTAGACAGCACAAACCCTGGAGGTTGCTCAGAGAGCTGCATCCAGCCTGGAAGGAGGAGGAGACGCTGATTTTAGTCTCATCATGCTGCTCTGACCACAACACAGGGATCGACTTGTAGGAAACGCTGATGCCTTCAAACAAGGACTCGCTGATGGAGAATAAAGGGAATCTTAATAGTTCTCAGCTCAGTTGAACACCTTCGGCTGATGTGTGACGGGCGGGTCAGACAGAACTCAGTCACATCAGATGGATGTCATTCACAGGAAGGAATCAAAGGGATGTGGGCTTCACAAGACCAGCGGTTCCCAAACTTTTGGAGCCACGACCCCCAAGATAACATCAGTTTGTGTTTGTGACCCCCCAGTTTGAATTTCTAATATCTCATGATTAAAAACTTTTTTGTTCATGAATTAAACATGAATGTGGCAGCCCTAATACACATTTATCTGATAAATGTAGGCTTTTTATTTTTTATTTTTTTTACCATGATCTTGCGACCCCCTGAAATTATCTTGGGACCCTCATGGGGGTCCCGACCCCCAGTTTGAGAGCCACTGCACTAGAGGATATCGTAGCTGCTCCAGTGACACCTCTCTAGGACTCTTTCTCCTTCACTGTGTGGCCCATCTTCTCTGTGGTGGTGTCATTATGGTATCTGGTACCAGCAGAGCCTGAAGTCACAGGAAGCAGCCGTCAGAGCGTCTCCAGCTTCTTCAGCTTCTGACTGAGACGGCACACGTGGGTGAATTAAAGTCACAAGAGCAGTTTAAATCAAATCCTTCAGATTCTAGAAAGTGGTCATGACTTAGAAAATACAAGTGATAAATGCCAGTGGAGGACCCTCAGACCACATCTCCTCTGGCTTCATGTCAGATCAGGAGGAGAGAAACATGACTTCTGCTCGCTCGTCTTTCCTCAGACCCGTAATGTTGAACCATTCTGCCAGTAGGAGTCCCTTTTTATGGGGTGGCTATAAAAAAAGCACAATTTTAAGATATTAAAACTATTCTTTTATTAACACCTGGATGTGTAAAAAGGATTTTTTATTTCTTTAATCCCTTCAAAACCCTGAATAATGACCACAGGAGAACTGTAGGAAAGCTCCACGAGGGTTTCAATGTCTCGCCTGAACTCTGAACTTCGTGAGTGATTTATGTGGAGGCTTATATTGAATCATATTGTAATGGTGCTGGAGCTGAACTTTGTTCTGCCCTTTCTCGCTGATAACATTCATCACTGTGGCTCCAGATCCGCGAAGCAGTTTGTCAGCTGTTTAATGTCAATACAGGCACATTTCAGATGAGCAAATCAGATTAATTTTGCGCTGTATCGACATCGTGGGCTGAACAAGAGGCAGCATTATTTGACAAAAAGCAGCAAATTGGATTTGGACTGTTATTGATCTGTTTTTCTGTCCCAGGATTAAAGGGAAGATACACGAGACCAACCTGACGTATGAAGACTTCCCGACATCCAAGTACATGGGGCCCTTACAGTACACCATATGGAAATCGCTCTTCCAGGACATTTCTCCAGGTATGTGGCTGTAATGACGTAATAATGGGATGGACGTCACTCAGACTGGTTTCACAGCATCCAGGATCCAGTCTAAAGCTGGACAGGCCTTAAAGGACCAGTCACACGGGTAGAAGAATATGTTTTCTAGCTCTCTAGCCCCGAGTCAGGTGATCACATCAATACCACTCCCATGTCCTTCTCTTCATAATAATAATAACAATAATAATAATAATAATAATAATAAAGTTTATTTTGAGAGCACTTTCAACACACGTTGCAAAGTGCTTTCCAATAAAATAAATTTAAAACTGAAATAAAACAAGCACACAAAACAGAACAAGAAGCTAAAACATCACTTAAAACTTCAATAAAATCAGGAAAAGCTCTCAGATAAAAATGTGTTTTAAGGAGTGACTTAAAAGAGAGCACAGCTAGAAGATGGTGAGCTCAGCTTATCAGGAAGACTTGTCTGAGAGCAACTAAACCCACCTAGGAGGACCTCCAAAGCTCTGGTTTACCTGTTAAACCATGTTTGTTCGATTCATCACAAACTGTGTGAAAGCAGCTCTTTGATTTGTGGCTCTTTGTTTCCCTGTTTATGGGGTTTGTGCCGAGATAATAATCCACAAATCACTGTTTAAACAAACAGGATGTAACATGTAAATCTGGACGGTGAAGGTGGTGTCCCTGGACAGAGCCGTGCTAGCTGCCCTGTTAGCAGCCTTTATGCTAAATTAACCATCTTGTAGAATAGAATAATTTATTGATCCCTCATTGGGGGAAGTGTACACCCCTCAGCAGCATCCAAACTTATAGAAACAAGTACAAGAAAAGAACAATGATGAAGTAATATGCATCCTGGTGTCGGCACACAGCCGGTCCAAGGCCCACCGAGTCCGGCTGGGCGGTCCACATGCTGGGTGAATGTGGGGAGAGCGGTAGAGAGCGCTGTATGATGATGATTGATGATTATATTATAGCTTCAGCTTTATATTTAATGTGCAGGTAAGACAGTGGTGTCCATCTTCTCATCCAGCCCTCGGCACTGAGTGACTACGTCCACCAAACTCTCACATTTGAACTGATTCGTTTCTCTAATTCTCCTTCAGTAACTGACTGTGAGGCTCACAAACATGGAGAACAGGAACCAGTCCTGCATTAATATTACTGCTTCTGTGCTTCTCTCTCTGTGATCGGACCTGGAGGCTGGCGCTGCCCTTCAGTGTCAGACGGTCCTGAGAGGAGCTCTGCTTCCTCGGCCCTGCAGCTATCACTCACTCACAGGAGATTATTTAAAATAATGTGCTGAGGATTTTTTCTGCTCCCTCAATCAATTCTCCCATTTCAGCCGGCTGCCGGCTGAGGGAGGCCAGCCGCTTCCTTGGCCTCCCTTGACTGGCTGCCAAATGGAACAATTGGTTACGATCCATCACCAGCACTTGCCAGAGACGCAACAAAGACATTCCTCCCATCATCCCTCATCCCTCGCTGTCACTGACGGGTTAGCGAGAATAACTACCAGACGCTGGGCTGTTTTTATTTCCCCCTCTCGTGTTCAGCAGAAAGAATGGAGTCTCCACTGATGCCTGCATGTTCCTGCACATGGCACCGAGCGGCTCTCGGCTTATGAAAGTTTAATGACTGGATTGTAACAAACACTGGAGATGTCATTGAGTGGAGAAGGCATTGTCCTGTCCACTGGACGCCCGCCAGACGCTTCACCTCCGTTTATCCCAGCTGATAGAACCACAGAGAAGATGCCTTCCCTCCTTCCTCAGTCTGCACCGTGTGAAGCAGAGCAAAGGGAACAAGCTGGTATTGTTCAGCCTGATGACTGAATGCTTGCAGATCCTCCCTGAAACCACATAGCTGCACCAGGAGACAGCCTCCTGCGGGCCTGGAGCCTGGAGCTGAGGCTGCTCCTCCCTCCCTCGCTGTAATTACTGCTCCGCTCTATTGTTTGCACTCTGTACACGGTCTGATGTTGCTCAGATTCACAGAGCAGTTGACTTTGAAGGCTGGAGTTTATGGATGAAGGTAGAAACAGATCATGAAGAATAAACCACGCTGCACTCGGTCACACACGTCGTTCGACTCGGTTTCATTTTCCTGAAATGAGACTTGAGCTGCAGTTATAAGAACAGTTCATCAGTCATGTGGTACCACGGGGTTCTGATCGCCTCCTCCACCTCCGGCACCGGTCATAGGTGGAGATATATCTGTAATGTTGTTCATCTCAAATGGTGAAATCAAGACCTCCTCTCTCATCTCTGGTGGACTCTGTAATCTGAATGATTCGTCCTTTATCTGTCCATTTGGTTTCTAACGTGTCCGGTCCAGCATCGTAGCAGAACCATGATCTGCTGCTGTGTTGTGCTGAACAGATTTGCTTTGCCAGAGGGGAGCTTTATGAATATAATGCTCCTCTTGATAGTCTGATTTTTATTTATTTATTCATGTATTCATTCTATTTTATTTCATTCATTTGTTTTGAATGCTTGCTTACTACTGAGTTAATACTGCTGGAGCTGATGGAGGGAAAAGAAAAGTGAACAGTTTACAGAAGTGAGAAGGAGAGTGAGAGGAAACCAAAGATACCACCATCTGTAGACTGTACTGACACTCAGCAGAAAACATCTGACGGAGCTGATGATCATCCAGAGGACCTGTAAGAGATGAAGAAGCTGAGAAAACCTGAACCTCAACCATCTATCTGTCCATTTGGCCCGTTAGCAGAACAGGACCGGACAGCTGACAGTCTGCTGTACTAAAATAGTTCACAGAATCCAGCAGGAGTGTTGTTCACTGAGTTATCACATTTTTATTTCCCATCATAGTTGTTTTAGATTCATACATTAGATTACAGAGGGAGAGTCCTGTCCTGTGGATGAACAACCTCAGCAGGTCATCAGGTTGTTCAGTGGATCATTGGCTCCCCACTCCCACACCTAGAGGAGGTCTGCTGGAGTCGTCTCCTCCGACCCGGGCCACCCAGGACTCTCTGTTCACCACCGTCCCTCTGACAGAGTCACCAACAGACTAAAACACAGCTTTTTCCTCCTGGCTATGAAGAGACTGCTGCAGGAACCACAACACTCCCAGTTACAGACTATTACAGAGTATTTATTTTAGATTTTATATTTTATTGCTGGGCTCGGTGGTTAGCACCGTGGCCTCACAGCTGGAAGGTCGCCGGTTCATGTCCCGGTGAGGACACCCGGGATCTTCCTGCGTGGAGTCTCCATGTTCTCCCCGTGCAGCGTGGGTTCTCTCCGGGTTCTCCGGCTTCCTCCCACAGTCCAGAAACATGCTGAGGTTAATTGGTGATTGTAAATTGTCCGTAGGTGTGAATGTGAGTGTGCTTGGTTGTCTGTCTCTAAGTGTAGCCCTGTGATAGACTGGTTACCTGTCCAGGTGAACCTGCCTTCACCCTGAGTCAGCTGGGATAGGCTCCGCCCCCCATGGCCCTGGTGAGGATTAAGGTGTAGAGATGATGGATGGATGGACATTAAAGGATTCTGATTCTGACATACACACACACACATGCATCACCACCTGATGGATGGACTAAATTAGGACCAGATGTAGGGTTACCATCCTTTGCCTTCTGATTTTTAAGGTTATTCTTGGAGAACCTGCCACCGTTGGTCAGTGGATTTAGTCTCAGTCGGTCTAACCCCAGACTGACTCCATGATGTGGAGGTCGGGGTTCTGTGGGCCTCACATCTGCTGCAGGCCTGCTGGTTCTTCTTGTTGCTCTTTGGGGTCGTCATCATGCTGCAGAAGTGGTTTCAGACTGATCAGATGTCTTTCCTTCTGCTATTTTCTGACAGATAAAAATCTAAACACCTAAACGTAGAACTGTGTTTAAAAACCTGGAGGATGCAACCAGAACGTGTCTCTCCTTCAGTCCGTGCTTCATAACCAGACGGCGTCCTTTAACTCGCCGTCTGTGGTGAAGGCAGCGGAGCTTTAGGGGTTCGCTCCATCACCCTGACCGTGGCGCTCCTATAAACTCATGGATGTATTTACTCACTGCCTCAGGATGAAACTGTTTACACAGCAGCTGCATGATGAAGAGGAACGAGGTGCTGAGAGTGACACCGCTGTTCTTACGGTTCTGTTGGGCTAAGCTGAGTCATAACACATTGATTTGTTTTGCTGCTTACTTATGTGTGTGTGCTGTCCTGACCCGACTGACCTGCTCGTCTCTCTGCAGCGTTAAATCTAAAAGTAAAGTAAATGCTGACTCTCTGCACTAAAACGCTGTCTTCCTTCGTCTGCTTTTCATTTTCCTCTCCAGTGCCAGCAGCGTTGACCCTCGACCCCATCACGGCCCACCAAAGACTGATCCTCTCAGACGACTGCACCATCGTGGCCTACGGGAATCTCCACCCGCAGCCTCTGCAGGACTCCCCTCGCCGCTTCGACGTGGAGGTGTCGGTTCTGGGCGCGGAGGGCCTCATGTCGGGCGTTCACTACTGGGAGGTGATGGTGTCGGAGAAGACGCAGTGGATGATCGGCGTGGCCAATGAGACGGTGAGCCGCAAGGGCAGCATCCAGATCCAGCCCAGCCGCGGCTTCTACTGCATCGTCATGCACGACGGGAACCAGTACAGCGCCTGCACCGAGCCCTGGACCCGCCTCAACGTTAAGAGCAAGCTGGAGAAGGTGGGGGTGTACCTGGACTACCCCAAAGGCCTGCTCATCTTCTACAACGCAGACGACATGTCCTGGCTCTACACCTACCGGGAGAAATTCCCCGCCAAGGTCTTCCCGTACTTCAGCCCCGGCCAGAGTCACGCCAACGGCAAGAATGTGCAGCCGCTGCGAATCAACACTGTACGCCTTTAAGAGCTGCACAGCGACGGTCGCGATCGACCCGACAGACGAGTCCGTCGTAGGTGAAATCAAAGGACTTGTGTGTTTCAACAGATGTTCCAGAAATCAGTTTAAGATGTTTAATAGGGTGTTTGACATGTTTCTTTCCTTCAGTTCGGTGTTAGGAATCGTGCTTGGTGTTGCTCTTACAACTCGCGCTGTTATTTTCTTTTTGACTTGAAGCGACCATTCAATACCGGCCTGCACTTGAGCCTCATTCTGCATCTTCAGTGAAAAGATGACGCTGAATGGAGACGGAGGGGACCCCTGGGCTTCTCCAGGGTCTGTGGCAGAAATGGGAAACAAAATTAAAGGTGATCCTCCCTCCTACGGTGACTGTCAGAGGCCCACCTTGCACACTCCCAGGGCCGTCGCTGTCTGGTCAGACAGGATGTCCCCTCTCTCTCCATCCAGACCAGTGGACATGAAGACCAGCCACTCGTGTCCTCGTGCTGTCCTGTTTGGCTTCGCTTCGTTTGTGGAATGTGATTGACGACACTCGGCTCCTATTTTGGCTTTGGGTCGGCCAGCGGTCCACCCTGAACTCGTCGAGTCTGTCGGCACTTTTTACTTCTCACTGAGACCACGGTCTTACGTCCTCCTGCAGGTCACGTGTGTCCGTCTTCATCGACGCGAGGAAAGCTCCCGTTCTACGTGCACCAGCCGTCGTTCACATCACGTAAACTGAATGAGTCGTACATGGGCTGGCCGTCCCTACCCGCTGCCCAGAGGGTGAGGATGTGCAGAAGTATGCTGCTAGTGGTGGAGAGAGGACTTCATGTTTGTATATAATGTATTAAGGGTAGAAAGGAATCAGTCTCTCATCATGCTGGCTCATGCTTAAGTTTCCACTCTTTCCCTTAAAGCCACTGGTGTGCTGGCCCTCAGCATTCCAACACATTCCTGCTTCCAGTCATGATTTTTGTCTTAATATCAAAAGAATATGAAATCACACGGAGCAGATAATCGTCTGCTCTGTTTGTAGCTCCTCAGACGTGAAAATCTGGTGAGTTTAAGATCAGCTACTTCTCAAAAATGCTACAGAGACCAGCTGTTGTCTCTTTTTTAAATCGTATCGTTTGTGTAATGAAATGATCAGATCTAACGGGGATGGATGGCTGAACACTAAAATGGCATTTTCTGCAACTGGCGTTCCCCAGACTGCTGCTGCTGCTGCGGCGTTACGTAACGATAAAATCACTGGTAATTCCTCCGAGGCTCAGTCATGTTCATGTCTTCGCCCCCACGTGCCTCAAGTGCTCCAGTTTATCACTCGTCGTACACAAGTCCTGCAAAATCTGCTCTAAGAGGCGCTTGTCGCTCAGCCAAGTCCAGCATACTGAGAGACGTGTCTGGGGACGTGCACGGGTGTGTTGGTGTGGCCTGATTCAGCTGTGATGTTAAATCCAGCTTTGGTTGTGGCTGATAAAGCCCCTCTGAACACAGCCATGCAGCAGCCAGACGTGTTTATTGGAGATCACGTTGGGATCAGGTGGGACAGAAATCTACAAATGAACAAGCAAAAAAAGAGAAAAATCACTGAGACCTTCCTTTGCCACTTCATCTCTGCATTTGTCTGTGTGTCGTCTGTGTCGTCCTTTTTAAAGAAAACCGGGGCAGTGCCCTCGTCTCTGTAGGAAGTGGTTCCGGTATGTGCAGTATGACGCAAACTGGGGTCAGACGGAGAGCATCTGCAGAGTGGTGGTTTTAACTTGCACAGATCTGCAGGGACCTGTGAGTTGTTCAGAACCTACCTGGATAACGCTGCTCAGTAACACCTGGTTACACACATCACATACATCAGTAATTTATTCAGTAATGTGTGAGATTAGGAGGAGTAACACCGTGTAGACAATCAGGACGGCGGTCTGGCGCTCCATGCAGGTTCACACAACGTCTGGCCCCAGTTTGGTCTGATTCATTAAGACTTTATGTTTGAATATTAAGAAGGAGATTATTGTGAGGTGGTGTCGGGTTCTGGTGGTGGTGATTATAATGATGATGACTATGACACTTTTAATGATTATTATGATGATTGTGTCTTCTGATGATGGCCGCTCCATCGTTGTGTGAACACACTCCAGTGTGCTTTTGCTGCTGGAGGTTTGTGTGAAATGTTTTAATGTACAATAAATGACTGCAAAAATCAGCACGGCCTCGCTGACGTTGTCTTTGATTGGATCGACGCTGGCGCTGTAGAGATTCTGGGCTGCAGGTGGATCAGTGGTTAGCATCGTGGCCTCACAGCTAGAAGGTCGCCGGTTGGCGTCCCGGTGAGGACACCCGGGATCTTTCTGCGTGGAGTCTCCATGTTCTCCCCGTGCAGCGTGGGTTCTCTCCGGGTTCTCCGGCTTCCTCCCACAGTCCACAAACATGCTGAGGTTAATTGGTGATTGTAAATTGTCCGTAGGTGTGAATGTGAGTGTGCTTGGTTGTCTGTCTCTAAGTGTAGCCCTGTGATAGACTGGTTACCTGTCCAGGTGAACCTGCCTTCACCCTGAGTCAGCTGGGATAGGCTCCGCCCCCCATGACCCTGGTGAGGATTAAGGTGTAGAGATGATGGATGGACCTTTTACTGTTACAGTTGAGCCTGATGGGAATATTAGTTGTCACTGAACAGATTTAAAATTGGTTCTCATGGTGGCTTCATCCTTTGGGAACCACAAAGTTGTACAAAATCTAAGAACAATTCATCCAGTACTCGCTGAGATGTTCCAGTCAGTCCTGGACCGGTTTCCATCCATGGATGTCAGCGCAGCTTAAAACCATCTGAGTCGATAAAAATCACTCGTTGTTCAAGTGCTCATAACAAGAGGTCACCAGTTAACTTTGTTCTGAAGCATCCCGGGCCGACACAGTGGAGGACATAAACCACAGCCGGGTACAGTACCGGTCCAGGTTTAACGTGTCGGTCTGCAGGCAGAACATGATCTGTGGAAACAAGAACATCAACATATTCTAAACCCTCCAGATGAGACGTACCTGGGAGGAAGATGAATCTCATTTGAAATGCAGGAAAACTTTGCCTGTGCTTGTCAGTACCTGCTCCAGCTCCGTTCGCTTCGTGCCAGACATTTTAGTTGAGATGTGCCAAACTCTGGGTTCTGCTGAGCCATCCAGCAGGGAGGTGGGAGGCCGCGCTCTCTTTTTCATTACCGCTCCCTATTCTGGCAGCGCCGAGGCTCGAGTGTGTGACATGATGAATAAAAAAGACGTCTGCTGGGGTTCAGTGTTCCCTCACGGCGGGTGAGCCGCAGCCTTCAATAGGCCCGGCTCATTTGCCATCTGTGACGCGTCTGAATGGAGGGTTGTTAGACTGCAGAGACGAAGCTGTCACGCAGTTTCACATCATGGAAATCATGACAGAAAGTGAACATCTGAGTCCTGCTCTCCCTCAGAAACCCAGAAACTAATGTTGTGCTGTTTTGTTTTTCTGTCCAACTTTGTGCCCCTCTGCTTTATTATTTCACACTCAGAAGCAGTTGAGAGTTGTTGCATCATGATTACAGCTGGTCCACAACAAGCCGAGCAGTCTGAAGCCGAGGCCTTTCTTCAGAGCAGAGCCTCGGGACAAGTGGCTTCATATTCTCAGCTTTGATTCTGGGCACTTCTCTCAGCTCCCTCCTGTGATTAGAGACGTTTTTATCCAAGGAGAAGGTGTCCGTCCTGTAATAGGCATCGCTGCCCGGGGGGACAGCGTCCATTAGAACGTCACCGGGTCTCCTGTGAGAGACCCGTATCTGATTCCAGACTGATGTGGCCCTCCGGTGAAGGTTTTTAATCTTGTAAGTGAAGCAAAAAGCAGAAATGAAGGCTCACTTTTGTCATCGCTTAATTTTTTTCTCTCCGCTGAAGAACAAGAGCTTCGGTTCTGACGCCGCTGGCATGAACGGATCCGTCATCTGTGTTATTCTCCAGCACATGTTCTAGGATTATGTACAGTATTAGGTTAAATAGGACTCGGGGATGATGATTAAACTGTGAAAATGAAAACCACCAGAGGACTTTACACAATCTCACGGCTGAAATGATTACTCCACCAACCATTTTGCTAATTGATTATTCATTCAGGTCATTTATCAGACACTAATGCCAAACATGGCCTGAACCAGCCTCAACAGGATCAGCGTTTGTTGCTGCTTTTCTCTCTTTTACAGTTTATTAATCATAGATACAGATCAAAAACATTTGGAGGGATGTCTGTCTTTCACTTTACTATTTTATGTCGTTTGTCTCCTTTTGGTTTCAACACAGTTCAGATCTTATTTAATGAATAAACATCATCTCTTGGTTGTGTCACTGAGGAATGCGTTAAATGTGGTTTCATCCTGCTGCAGAAACCGAAAGCAGGAAAGAGGTGAAGGTGAATGAGTGACTCCTCACCTGGCAGGAGGCAGTTAAACCGCTGGTGATGGTAAAACAATAAAACAGCTTCAGGAGCAGACTGATCTCAGTTCAGTTTGTCTCACAGAGCAGCTGAACAGCAGCAACTTCACCGCTGAGGAAACTTCAAGCAACTATTTCTCTTCATGTCATCATGCACTAACTTCAAACAAGATCTTCAAACAAACTGGAAGCCACGGCACCTCTTCAGCTTCATAAACACACGGAGGAGACGTGGCCTCCTCATACAGCCTCCTAAAGTTTATCTGTCTGCGCTCTGAACCAGGAGGTCGCTGCTCATAGAGAGAAACAACCTGAAAATACCTTCCAGTATCTCCTGAGCCCCCTTCATACCTCTGCTGTTACCTGCTGAGGCTCGTCCATCAAACGCTGTTGGAGCGTCGAGGTGTTGGGCTGTTGTTGTACCAGAGCGCCCTCTAGTGTTTACACGCTGCTCACCCGAGCCTGAGCTGCCACGACGCCGGCTGAACCTCCGGTCCACAGCTGCTCAGTTCAGGCCTGAACATTCATCTGTTGAAGTTGAATTTGAGCGGCGCTGTTTGCTTGTTTTGCAGCATTTATTTTCTCCGGTTACACGAGGACCCGTCTCTGCATCGCCTCACAGCAGCAGAACAAACCTTCAGACGAGTCCGGGCCGGTCCGCGCTGCCACACAGGACTAGGGTTTGCTCTTAGATTACCGTAATGTAAGCTGGACAGTTTAACCAAAGTAAAGACGGGTTTATTTTGAGCTGGAGCAGTTAGCCACCCGACCCCCGGGCTAACTCTGAACCTGTTTCCATGGTAACGCTCAGTGCCACCGACTGGCGAGAACGGAAGAAAACTCGTCTCGTTACTTGTGGTTTGCAGAGAGAGCACCATGAGTGGGGGTTTGTAAAGACCCCCTTTGATGAAAAAGAAGTGTTTTACCTCGTTAACGTTTCCATTCGGGGTGGTTTAGATCCTGGAAGACGCATCATGTGTGAAACAAGCAGCGAACACCTGCTGAAGCATCTTCACCTCCGACCTGCAGCGTGCTGACGACAGTCTCTACAGCACGGAGTCAGACAGACGCAGCTTCATACGTCACAAACCTACAAACCGTCAGCCTGCACGGTGGGACTTCCTGAACTGGTTCAAGGCTCCAACACGTCCGGCTGATTTACTGAATATAACATCGTCTTTGTGTCGTGTAGAAGTAGTTTGACAGTCGTGGAGTGAGCTGGTGTGCTCAAGCTGCAGCGTATAGGGAGGGCTACGTGGAGAAAGAGGGACTTCATAGATGTGCATATTCTTAAGGAAGCAACAATGTCTGAGCCAAAGACTTCAAACACAGGTGAGTTTTTAGAGTCAATGAGTTCAGAGGGACTTTCAGACTTGTTGGGACTTCACTGAGTTCAACTTCTTTCTTTCTTTGTGTTTTTTTTATCCCTTGGTTTCATTCTTCGCCTCATTTTCCAGTAAAACATCGATGTAACTGTGAAACTGTCTGAAAGGGCAGAAGGTTCCTCCAAGAGCAGCCGAGGTTTGATTCTTTCAGTTTAGCAGAAAAAGGTCAGGATTTACTCCACGTGTCCTTCTTCATGTAGTCAGAACATCAAACGCTGTTGTGCAATGGATGAATTCAGACCTTTAAACTGTAAATATTTGATTAAACTTAAGCCAGAATCTGTCTTTGTGGAACCCAGTCTCAGGTTTTGTTTTGTTGAACATTAACTTTATGCCATTTGTTAAATACATTTAGATAAATTACAGCCACAAGACTGTTAGCTTAGCTTAGCTTCAGGATTAACTTTATTGCCCCAGGTGTGAGAAATGTGTCTTGGGTTATTCCCCCACGCTGCAGTCAGCACAAACAGGGAAACACAGTGAATAGATAGAATAAATAAACAGCATAAAGACCAGATACGAGGAGACAGCTCACTGCTCACTAATTAACGTCTAATGTCTTGTTTGTGTCGCTGATTCATGCAAAACTGGTCCAGCTCAGTGAGATCAGGTAGTTAAAGTGTCAAATTAATTAATTTTTTTGGCAGTAATTTAGCACGAAGAGGCTTAAACAAGTCATCAACAAAGTTTCTGTATTGATTGAATACAAACAAACAGAACCGGCACAGTGTGTGAATTAGAGGCTTTGGAGGCGCTGATGGACTGAAGCTGCTTAAAGGTCAAAACCGGAGCAGGATTAATGTCATCATCCACCTTTTTCCTGAAGTAAAGGCACCGATGAAACAGTAAAAACCACGTTTATAAGTCCTGCATTTAAAACCTCATTTCACAGAAATATTATGATCAGAATAAATTCAAAAGTAAATCTACTTGAATAGATTAGTTTTAGCTCGTTGTGGTGCAGCAGCGTGTTGGAGGCGTTTGCAGCACGTTCCTGGTTTCAGTGATGTTATCTACGTCTAGATGGTTTCCTTCATGGGTTCCAGGCTCGGAGTAGAAAACAGGGACGTAGAAAGTTCTGCAAATGTGTATTTCTTTCTTCTCCTTGTTTTGTGAAACCTCAGCTACTTACCTCTTCTGGCCTTGAACGTTTATTCAAATGAAACCTCAGAGAAATTCAAACTCAAGTGTCCTCAACAAGTGGCTTCTGTTGTAAAGCGCCCACTGACACACTCCATGTTCTACAAAGTGATGCTTTTTAGTGTGAACTGAAATAATCAGCGACCACGACTACCGAGCAAAGTTCAGGACCTGAGCTTCAGCGCCGTACTTGGATAAATACACCTTCTCCTCCGTCCTTTGAAAGCGACTGATTGAA